AACGCCCCAATCAGATGAGATCCCTTGAACGTATTACTTTCTTACAGTAATATTTTCAACCTCGATCTATGACTCTGAGAACCTTTTTTAGAACCCGTGTGTCAATGGTTATGTAGTTGATGCCTCCGAGAAGTCTTTCTCGCGTGGATGATACGAAATCCTCACCTAGAAGAGATTCTTTTGAGGATATTATTGTCGTGATGAGGCTTTGTCATGGCTGTAATATCTTTGAAAGATATCCATGATTCTAGGAACCTACCCGTTTTAGAATCCTACCTGTGGGGTTTCTTTGAGCAGTGACTGTGATCCTTGAACCGTTCACCCAGCTAATTCTCAGAACTATTTGAATTTGTGATCCTGTGATCCTGGATCTTGCATTGCATATCATTTGCATTGCATCTCATTTGTTGTGCATCTTGCATTCTCCTTCCTTCAACAGTTTCTCATGTTTCTCTTTCCTTCATATCCAGTAAATCAAGTTGATTCCTCGACACCAGTACGCGACTAGAGCTAATACAAGACGAATGATGGAGTAGATTCAGCAAGAGCAAGTTTCCATTAGAAAGGAGTTGGAAGCCATCAAGGAAAAGATTGATCAGATCTTCGAAGCACTTCCCATAACCAGAAAGGGATCAGTACAACAAGCCGCTCAACGACCGCGTCGGCAAAACCAACAAAGGACATGGAGGCCATATAGGGTATTTAATCTCCTACCAATGACATATGCTAGTATCTTTGCTCAATTGATGGGGAAGAAGGTTGTTGTTCTGAGAGATTTGGCTCCCCCAACTGTCATTCCTGCCGACTATGATGCAAATGCTCATTGTGAGTTTCATAAGGGCGCTTTAGGTCATACCATTGAGAATTGCAGGACTTTCAAGCACACGGTTCAAGACATGATTGACAGGGATGCTATCACCTTTGATGGGAAGTACCTCAATGTCATCAACAATCCAATGCCGCCAACCAAATAGCGTTATTCAGATCAAATCCAATCAAGTCAAGTTCATCCCCGAAGAAGGCTGTCATGTTGCCATTTCATATTTCGCGTTTCTTATGTTTTGTCTTTATTTGTTTAAGTATTGTATGCTTTGAACAATTGTCATTCACATTTGGTTTCATTAATGTATCATTTATGCATGTTTTGAATTAGTTATGTCGTATTCACTCATTTTTCACTTATCACCGACACATTTATTCACTCCACTCTATTCACTGTTGTTTAGCATGATTTGAGGGAGGATGATGAAAACGAGATACCCATAATTGCAAACCGTATGCTTTCAGACAGAATCTTGTCAATGATGTACAGGCATTGTTTTCAATTCCCATAAACACCGGAGATATAAGGATTTAATCCCTAGTAAACCACTTTGAGCCTAGGAGTAGCAGTTTCCTTCGGATATTCAAACCTTTACACTCGACCTGGGGCAGGGTAGTGTTCAGTTAATCCAATCCCGAATCAACGAAGAAAAACCCAGAAGACGGTTGTTCATCAAAGTCCCATGACATGGCAGTCACAACCTTCCCAAAAATCCTGCTAAGTCAAACACCTTAGAGGGGACTTAGGCAAAATCAAGGCAATCCCGATGGATCTGACAAGCAAAGTCAATCCATGCAAAAGTTAGGGATCAAAAACAAAAACAAAAGAGGACCCTGAAACCCTCAACAAAAACAAAATAAGATTCAGTGGTCACCCAAAAGGGGTCACTGACATCCATCAAAATAAGGTGACTGCCATCGAGTTTACGCCGTCAAGACAAGCATATGCAGAATTAACTAAACGTAGGACTGAAGATCATTAAGAAGAAAGGGTGGGTACAAAATCATAGTTTGAGCCTAATATCCTTTGTTTCATAACCGCGAACCAGACCATGTTACAACCCTCGAAAGACCTAATTGAGGCGAGGTTTATTCTGAAGGCATACTATTGCAAGGTTGTGTAACCTGACTCCTCACATGATTGTTAATCATCAGCATTGGTGTCGTTATCCTTGCAATATCTTCTACACCAATCAATCATTACCACACTTGGACTAGTGATCCATTCGTTTCACACTATCACGCCACTTCAATAAAATAACACTTTTTCAAAACTTGCATTGAGCTTTGCATTAATGTTACCATTTGTGGGTGTACAATTTTAAGTGCTATGTATTCAAAGACACTTCAACAAGAGGCAATCAAGGAAGGATTTGGCTTCCAGTGGCCAATACGAAGCAAGACTACCTCAGAACCCACAGGCTGGGGAAAATCACTCAACAACTCGAGCAGGGGCAAGTCATCCGAGTTCAACTTCCATATGTTCAGAACTAGTTAATCTGGAGCAAGACCATACCATCCTGACCATCAAGCAAAGTTGCAACCTACTCTAAAGAAAATTCACAACAAATCACCAAGAACCCAGACTTGGGGCATCAAGGACATCTTCTGCTCCAATCATGGCGTCTTCAGCGAACTGTGTGTCGAGGAAATCAACCCCTCCCACCACCCGAAGTCCAATCCGTATTGGCAACTACCAAAAGTCCACCACGCTGGTGTCTCCACCTACATTTCCAACTACTCGTCTGCAATCATATGCATCTCATTCGCTATCATAAGCATTATGCATACTCCAATCATATCATACTTCCCTAGTTTTTGAATCTCCGCGCGCCAGCATTTGCATTTGCACTTCCTTTCGTTATGGAACCTCATTATCATCCAGCATTCGCATATGCAAGTCAAGGTCCAGGATCAATTTCGAAGATTTTCAAGATCATCATCATCCCAGTCAGGGGCATTCTCCGCAAGACTGTGGGTTTCTCCCACAAACTCCAAGAACTTCAAAGCAATCATCAGCCCGGTCAGGGGCAATCTTCTGCAATTGTGGGTTTCTCCCACAAAGTTCAGGATATTCAAAGCAAAATTCAGCCTAGTCAGGGGCATTCTTTTCAAGACCATGGGTATTTCCCATAATGTATTTCAACCTCGTGGTTGATCAGATCTTCAAGTCAACATACATCCCAGCCAGAGGCATATCATTCAAGGTCGTAGGCATCCCCACGAAGTTGTTCAACCTTTTGTTTGGCAAATCCAAGAGTTTCAGTGCAAGATTCAGCCCAGACAGGGGCATCTTCAGCAAAGCCGTGAGCGTTCCTCACGAAGTTGATCGACCTTTTGTTGACCAAGACAAAACTTCAAGATAAATTCAGCCCAGTCAGGGGCGTCCTCTTTAGATTTCATGGGCGTTCCTCATGATATCATTTCAACGAAACTGTGACTTCCAAGCAAAACGGTGGGCGTACCCCGTTGATTCATTCCAATCTAATCTTCCTTTTGGGCGTTCCCCAATGAGTTGTACTCAGCGAGCGTGACCGTTGTAAATTGCCTTACTATCATCCTTTTGGTGATAACCAACCTCGTCGGTTCAACCTAGCCTGCATCCTTTTGGTGTTGGTAACCTTCAATTCGCGTCGTTCAATCATCTTTTTAGTGATAGCAACCTGTGTGTGTGAGTTTCACTCTGTCATCCTTTTGGTGGGGGGGTCTGTCATCTAGATTGGTGTCAGATTGTGCGATAGTGTTTGGTGTAAGTTTCGCTCCGTCATCCTTTTGGTGGGGGGTCTGTCATCTGGATTGGTGTCAGATTGTGCGATAGTGTTTGGTGTGAGTTTCGCACCGTCATCCTTTTGGTGGAGGGTTTGTCATCTGGATTGGTGTCAGATTGTGCGATAGTGTTTGGTGTGAGTTTCGCTCCGTCATCCTTTTGGTGGGGGGTCTGTCATCTGGATTGGTGTCAGATTGTGCGATAGTGTTTGGTGTGAGTTTCTCTCCGTCATCCTTTTGGTAGGGGGTCTGTCATCTGGATTGATGTCAGATTGTGAGATAGTGTTTGGTGTGAGTTTCGCTCCGACATCCTTTTGGTGGGGGGTATGTCATCTGGATTGGTGTTAGATTGTGCGATAGTGTTTGGTGTGAGTTTCGCTCCGTCATCCTTTTGATGAGGGGTCTGTCATCTGGATTGGTGTCAGATTGTGCCATAGTGTTTGGTGAGTTTCGATCCGTCATCCATTTGGTGGGGGGTCTGTCATATGGATTGGTGTCAGATTGTGCGATAGTGTTTGGTGTGAGTTTCGCTCCGTCATCCTTTTGGTGGGGGTCTGTCATCTGGATTGGTGTTAGATTGTGCGATAGTGTTTGTCCTATCATCCAAACTCGGGTAGCAACTCCATTAGACAAGAACAAATGCAACAATTTTTTCTCAAAAAGAAAATAGAACGTAATGGAGATTATGAATAGAACTTAAAACACCTCTTCTTTTAAGCTAGTCTTTACAAACCAACATATCCATAATAATTCTCCAATTAAAAACTTTCTCAAATTAAAAACCTTTATCTTCATAGGCATATGAACAACCCAAATTAGTCTGCACGTGGCATATGAGCAACCCAAATCAGTCTGCACGTATTTGCAAAGAAAGAAGCAGGAGAATGAAGACTATTGAATTCAACAATTTTTTAGTAGCATGACCTCCGACTTTTGATTTATCATGGATCCAAAGAACTTCATCTTCTTTACCCTTGGTAAAAGTCTGGCTATCTAACAAAGCCATAACATCATGAATGTTTTCTGAAAAATTATCCCGAATCTCGGTTTCGATTCCCAAATCGCCCAATACCCATGAATCGTTAACCAAAGCATCCATATTAGCCACCATTTTAGATTTCATCCTGCTACTGCTGAAAAGAAGTAAAATTATTTTACACATATTACATATCCTAATTTCTTTATAATATTAAAAAAAAACTATTTAAAATAGAATTTTATGAATAAATAGATAAAAAATAAATCTAATCATTCCATAGCCGCTAACAAAATAAAAATAGAAAGCACAAAATTGGGTAGTGGTAGATTTTTTATTTTGTACATAATCCCACAAAAGTAACCTAATTTTAGTTTGTTTCATATTAACCTGAAACCAGTGGCGACAGATAACTCATTCCATCGACGTCTTCAATATGAATAGGAAGAAGATGGCTTTTCAGAAATCACCCATCCTCCTATTTTATTTACCTGATGACTGTTGGGAGCATGTCTTCAAATTTCTCATCATCTGCGACGAAGGTGAAACCGAAAACAAACACAAACTCTACTTTAAATCTCTATCTCTCGTCTCTAAACGGTTTCTCTCCATCACCAATAAACTCGTATTCTCTATCACCATTTCTGATCATTCATCTCGTCTTCTCCCTAGTTTCTTCCATAGATTCCCCAACCTTAATTCCCTTCACCTCCACTTCGGCTCCAGTCGTCTCGACTCAACCATTGCTTTGACTCTCCGTGACAGACCAACATTGAAATTTTTATCCATTTTCAATATTGAGCTAAACGATGCAAATGTAATTACTTCACAATACATCGATTCCCTCGTCACTTTGAAGGGTTTGAATATTCTTAAGTTCTGTTATTCACATATCTCAGATGATTTGCTATATTCTATTGCAAGGGAAGTTCTTCCTTTGAAGAACTTTGTTCTCAAGAATTGTACCGGCTATAGTTATGATGGAATTTATTGTTTGTTATCCAAATGTCCAGAGATACAACATTTGGATTTGCATCAAGCTGATTTCTTAAGGGACCATCATATTCACCAGTTATCTTTGTTTCTTGGTAGTTTGCTCTCTATAAAACTTTCTAAGTGTTTGAAACTCACAAAATTAGCCTTGTCTTTCCTCATTATGAACTGTCATTTACTTAGTGAAATTACAATGGAAGACATTAAAATGGAGACCGCATAGAGTTCTGATTCTTTGAAGGATTTTGACGTGAACCCTCAATTAAAGTCTCTATGTTTGGCTCACGGTGCCTTTACATTAAATAAAAACATCATATTGTTTGCTTCTATTTTCCCTAATTTGCAGCATCTTGATTTGAGTTATTGCAATAACATATGTGAAAAAGGTATTTCTCAAGTTCTAAGAACATGTTCTAAGGTTAGACATTTGAATTTGGGGTACTCTTATAAAGTTAGACGACTTAAAATGAATTTTTTAGTTCCCCATATGGAGGTGTTGGACTTGTCAGGTACAAAGGTTGATGATAGAACACTCTATCAGATCTCAAAAAGTTGTTGTGGACTTTTGCAACTATTAATGCCAAATTGTAGATATGTCACAATAAAAGGAGTGATGCGCGTGATTAAAAATTGCACACATCTGAAGGAGATCGATTTGAGAGGCTGTCGTGGAGTGACAACTAATGGTGTTATCTCAACTCTTTTATCAAGACTAACATTAAAAGAGAGAAAACTCTTCTCGCGTAATGGATGTCTTTTCTTCCAATGAAGTTTTAGCTCTAAAATGCAAGATGTTTTTGGTTTTTAGATTTGTTGGTCGAGAAATTACTCTTTTATTTTTAAATACGGATGTAATGCATGCGTTAAATTTTAATGTTTTTCCTTACTCTTCTTTGAATTATATTACTTGTATTAGATTTTGTGTCATTCTTCATTGGCAGCATTGTTGATTGTTTCAGATCTAATTTGTTAAGGATTAGAAGTTAGTATGAATGTTTCTGTACATAGTGGAAACCTCTGTTTTATCATACAGACATGGCATACAGTATGGTGGAAACAAAATCATACTTAAACTAAGATATGACAATAGTTTAAAGAAAATGAATAGTATTTCTAATATGCATGTTTGATTTCCTTTATTGTTCATTGTGTTGCATAATGATGTCCCATATATAGCATTGTAACCTCATAATAAGTCATAACCAACCATACCGATAAAATGTGAACATCATAACTTCAAAGTAAAACCTTCTCTTTAGGACTAATAATAGATAACATACTCAAATTTTGTGCTGAATTCAAATTAGTGAAATTACTATTTATTGTTAATTTTACTATTTTGAAATAATCACAATATTATAGAGAAATTTGAATTTGTCATCAGTTAGCAGTCATAAGGATAAGGTTATGTTTAAAGTTATGATAATGTTCACTTTTCTTGGCATGGTTAGGTAGGACTTAGGAAGCAACAATACAGCTACTTTGTTTATACCTTAAAATAGTAGTCAGCAACTCTGGAGAAGGAGAGCCATGGAATCCCATAGTGCTTCTGCTGCACTATGATTCACGGACGCAAACATAAACATCACAGAGAACTGACACTAATGCAAAGATATGAGAATATGATTATTTGTGTCAGTGTTATATACATATCTGACAATGACACATACTCCAATTACAACACTGAAACATCATCCATTTTGTTTCATGAATGTCAATCTCCCTTCATCCTAAATTCACATTTCCATTATAACTTCCATTGACCGCAGGCTCAATCACTCCCACCTTCGGCATCATGTATACTAATACAAATTATTAAAATTTAAAATTGAAAACAGCTCTAAGGATAGGCCACAGCAGACCGAAATGGCAGTGCGATTAACCTGTAGGCTGCAGTAGATCGTAATATTAGTGTGGATACGCCGCACCAGGTTGAAAAATCTCCCCGCACTAGAAAAAACTAGAAAAGGCAGACTCGGCCAGCTGCTGCAGAGCACACCCGTCTTGACCATACTCCACGAAACCAGACTGCAACAGAAACCCACGACTAAATCGCACGGTGCCTCACACTACACCTCAAAGTGAAACATTGTCTCTTAAACTAATTAAGGGGATAATCAATACTTCAGCTTGTATAATAATATAAGCTCAAACCATATGAAAATGTTCACAATTTGGAAGCTCTGAACCAAAATAGAAGTCAAGTTGACTGCTAAACTAAATTGTTATCTTTTCAATTCCAGCCAAAGACAACAACATCCAGATATAGCTAAGAAATCCAAAGGTCAGTTAAGCCATTGATGTTTTGGGATATTTCTTACATATTTGAATATAAGAAAATGGGTATGACACAATTCTTATCCAAGTAATATAATTTAAGAGTAAAGAAAAACATCAAAATTTAAAAATTCATAGAAAAACATCAAAATTTAAAAATTCATAGAAAAATCTAAAACTATATTTCAATGATTATCATCAACAGGCGATTAAATACATATTTGTAAATTATTATTCTAAAAAAAAGTAATTTGTTATAGAAACAAATCTAAAAACATAATTAAAACTTTAGAAAATAAGACATTCATAACTAGCAAACAAGACATCCATTTCCCTAAAGTGAGAAGAGTTTTCTCTTAGATGAATTCCTTGATAAAACCATTGACACAACATTTATGTGACATAACTACAATATTTAAGTGATAAATGTAAAAGTCCACAATAACTTTTCAAGATTTGATAGTGTTTTATCATCGACACTTGTATTCGACAAGTTCAACACCTTCAGTTAAGGAACTACAAAGTTCATTTTAAGTCTTGCCACTTTATCACAATGGACCAAGTTCAAATGTCTAAGCTTAGAACATCTACTTAGAACTTGACAAATACTTTTTTCAGTTATGTGATAGCCATATCTTAAATCAAGATGCTGCAAATTAGGGAAAATGAAAGAAACATTATAATGTCTTTATTTTTGATTAAGGAATTGTGACCCAAACTTAAAAACTTTAAGTGAGGGTTTACATCAAAATCCTTCAAAGAATCAAAACTCTCTACACTCTCTCTTCAAATGCCTTCCATTGTAATCTCAGTAAGTGAATGACACATCCTAATAAGTGCAAACAAGGTAGATTTTGTGAGATTCAAACAATTACAAAGTTTTATAGAGACCAAACCACCAAGAAACATAGATATCTTAGTAATATGATGATCCTTTAAAAAATCAGCTTGAGTGTTCCCCTAAACTACCACCAAATTTTAGGCTTTTCTATCTAACAAATATAATTTTTAAATTTTTTATCTAAATAAAATTTTTCATTTTTTAATTAAATAACCTATTTTTCTAAAAACAAAACTCTTTCAATAATCCTACATTCCAAAACAATAATTAAAAAATAAATTTTAAATACTCTATTTTTTATTGTATGATAGGGTTAAAACTAATTTTGCATGTCTTTGTATCCTGTATCCTGATAGGCTGGTCTAATACAATTGAAGGTTTAAGGTAGAACTTGAATAAAGTATTTTCAAAAGTAACAATATATATTATTAAATTTTGTATTAATTTATGCTTAAATAAATAAATTAACAATTAAGCTCTTAAACTTTTTTAATTTATTTTTTAAATGATATGAAATTAATTAATAATTTAAATGACTTTTGATTTAGATAGATATAATTAAAGTTAAAACTCATAAAACGGAATTCCGGTTAGTAGTATTTTTAGCCATCTATTTTCTTCTTCACTCTTAATTTTATCTTTTCTTGGTGCCTTAAATAGAATGGGTTGAGGTTAATATTTATCCAAAATCACTGGTTACAAGTTTTTTTTCATTTAAATAAATATATTTTTAATTTATTTATGGGTATAATAGATTTTGTTTTAATAAATTAAATTTTGAAATCTATGAATATATATATATATATATATATATATATATATATATATATATATATATATATATATATATATATATATATATATATATATATATATATATATATATATATATATATATATATATATATATATATATATATATATATATATATATATATATATATATATATATATATATATATATATATATATATATATATATATATATATATATATATATATATATATATATATATATATATATATATATATATATATATATATATATTGGGTGAGCCTCCAATTGGTTGGCTTTCCTTATTTTGTTCGAGTTTCATATATATATATATATATATATATATATATATATATATATATATATATATATATATATATATATATATATATATATATATATATATATATATATATATATATATATATATATATATATATATATATATATATATATATATATATATATATATATATATATATATATATATATATATATATATATATATATATATATATATATATTCAATCTTTCCAACCAAACTCCTAATGACGTAAGCCCTAAAATCTGTCCATCCTTAATCGCGCTACTACCATTATCGTGGTCGGCCGGACTAACATGTACCGAAAAACATAATGGCGGCGGAAGATCTATATTTACCTGACGACTGTTGGAATGTGTTTTCAAATTCTTCAACAACCATGAAGACGACAAATACAATTGCTACCTCAACTCTCTCTCTCCCTAGTTTCCAAACAGTTCCTCTCCATCACCAACCGTCTCCGATTCTCCGCCGCTGTTGGCTCAAAAATACTTCCGTTCATCCATCTTCTATTTCAGATATTTCCCAATATCACATCCCTCAAACTCAACTGTTCCTTCTACCGTGATCCCAATGCCTTCAACGGTGATCGCAACGCGTTTCTTCATCAAATCTCTAGTTTCTCTTTGAAACTCAAATCCCTCGATCTCTCCAGCCAAAACATCATTCCTGCAGATGGGTTGCGAGCTTTCTCTGAAAATGTTACAACTTTGACATCTCTCAATTGTTCCTAGATGAATTCTATAAGGAGCTCTGACATGTTACTAATTGCCGATTGTTTTCCTTTGCTCGAAGAACTCAATCTCGGTACAATTGCAACATCCAACTTTGAAGATAACTTCATTGATGGGATAAATACTCTTTCATTGGCACTTTCCAAACTTGGCAAGATTAATCTCTCTAGTCATCGTTACATGACCGACGAATGTCTTTTCCACTTGTTCTACAACTACAAGTTTCTTCAAGACGCCATCATATATGATTGTCTTAACATCACCAATGCTGGTA